TACATATTTTGTCTCTTAAGACTATTATATTTTGTTCCTTAAGGATATCGAGCCCAAGGGACGCCTCTATCCGGATCCAAGAGATCACCCCCACTCGGGGAATATCGTCCAAGGCAAGTTCAGATGGCTCGGGTATCGAAGCCCAGGGGCACAGAAACCTATTAGGCAATGCATAAACCTAAAAGGCTACGACCACCCACACTCGGGGACTATCGTCCAAGGCAAGTTCGGACGGCTCGGGTATCGAAGCCCGAAGGTACAAAGCCTATTAGCCAGTACCTAAACTTAAACGGCTCGGGTATCGAAGCTCGGGGGCACAGAAGCCTATTAGGTAGTGCCTAAACTTAAAAGGCTACGGCCATCCCCACTCGGGGATTGCCGTCCAAAGAAATTTCGGACGGCTCGGGTATCGAAGCCCAAAGGTACAAAGCCTATTAGGCAGTACCTAAACTTAAAAGGCTACGGCCACCCTAGAAACGGCTCGGAGACGTCCGAACCCCGTAATCAAAACATAAGTCCTTCAAAAATTCCAAACCGGTACAAAATCTACCCTCGACAAAACTATAATTTAAAAAAATCTAAACAAGCACTTCAGGGAAAGATTCCGATCATACCGAGCCCCCACGAGTTTCAAACAAAAATTACATCGAGAACAAGTCTTTTCTTATTTGAACCTCCGAACAAGACCTTAGTACTACATTTTATTCCGTGCTAAGGCATTTTAAATCTTTGAAATCATAAAGAGGAAGCCAAATGAAACTAACTCAAAAATTGCCAAAGGGAAAAAAAAGCCTTATATGCATTCCAATAAAAGTCTTTAGGAAGACCAATGATAACAGCCTCAACAAAATGAACAAAATACAAAAACAAAGAAAATTTCCTAAGGCGCCTAAGCCCGATCTTTACCAGAACCCGCCTCGTCGCTGGGGGCGTCAGGGTCTTCTTCATCCTCGGGGTCACCGGAGCCCTCAAAGCCCTCCTCATCCTCGGGGTCAGCCAGCTTCTTGCCCTCGGCCTCGAGCCTTTTCGAATCTTCAATATCGGCTGACAGGTCGAAACCCAGGGCATGGACCTCCTTGAGAGTCTCCCTTCGGGACAATCACTTCACGTACTCAACAGTAACTTTCAGGCGGTCCTGGGTTGCCTCGGCATCGGCCCTGTACTGGGCCACCATCTCATCAGCATCAGCCCTAGTTATTTTTGACACATACTTCGCTGATTCGAGCTCCTTGCCAAGCGCATCCCATTCAGCAATGGCCGAGCCCAGTTGAGACTGGAGGTCTTCGATTTGTTGAGCCCGCGCTTCGGCTTTCTCTTTTGCCACTTGGACTTGGACCCCCACCGATACCAGCTGCTCTCGGGCAGTCTCCTTTTCCGAAGCCAATCGGTCCATTTTTCCTTTTCACCCATCGGCCATGGCTCATTTCAGGCCCGAGTTGGTTGATCCGATCGATCTTTTGCTGGATCTGCAAGGTTTGGCTGTTAGTCACTATTGCTATGTCCTCATCGCTAACCTCGATAATCTTTACCTATTCCAACAAGCCGGCATGCTCCTTCTGAGCCGCATCCAACTCGGCTCGGAGATCCTTGACAACCCCTTTGTGTTGCTCGGTGAGAAGCTTGAACATATCTCTTTTCTCAGCAAGCTCCCTGGCCTCAACCTCGAGTTGGTTCACCTCAGCCCGGTATCAAAGAAAGCTCTCATGGTGAAGTACCGAGGCCTGCAAAAAGATGAAAGGAAGAAGAAGTGAAAATTATCAAGAAACTAAGTCAAAAGATGAAAGAGCGTAATGATGCCTTACCCGATTTAGCGCCTGTTGTGCTTTGTTGAACAGGCACAACACGCCCAGCTCATTCATTTTCTCCTGGTCATCTTCGGTTACCAGGCACCGGAGGTAACTCACTACTCCTACGGAAGCAGAAAGAACCCGGGCATCCTCCGGGACGGTGATGATTATTGACCTCTTGCAGCCGGAATCCGCACTCGGGGCATGAAACTAGTTGGTTAATTTTGTGCTCGAGCTCTTCCTGCAGGCTTCTGAAGATGGATCTTTTCTCGGCACCTCCAAGTCACCCAACCCGGAGAAGTCATCCAGAGCGGTCGAATCCATACCTTCAAAAAACGAATGAAGGGGATCATCCATACCATGGGCCCTTTCATTGGATCGCTCCCTCACCATCCGGGCTTCATCGAATATGGACTCGGTAAATGAAGGCAATCCCGAAATCTTTATAACACCGGGCGAGATGGAGCCGACGTTATGAGAGGCCTCAGCCCTCGTCTCTACATCGTCCTCCTGAACGTGAAGAAGACTGGCATTTGTTGTCTCTACCTCGGCTGCTGCCCGCTCTTCACGGGAGGTCGGTTCGCCGGCCGCAAAAAGATCATCCTCTTCGGGCTCATCCCTGAGCCGGAAGAGCGAATCCGAGTCTGGTGCTCGAGAGCTGGAGCCCTCCTTTGGCTTACAGACCAATCTTCTCTTTGGTTTCTTCTTCCTTGAGTTTGGGGAACCTAAAGCCTTTCTTTTATTCTTCTTCTCCCCTGCTGCAGCCCCGAGCTACCCCAAGCAAAGGAATCAACTGGTAAGTCCTCATTCCTGACCAGAGGCCTAAGCTCGACGGTCTTAGGCAAGCATGCGAAAAGAAAATAAAGGAAATGAGAATGTGATTCTAGAAGGAGAAACCTAGTGTAACTTATTCAGGAAAGAAATTTTACCATGCCACGAGAGCTCGGAGCAAGGCATCTTTGAGAAAATACCATTGATCCATTCCCTGAGTCGAGGGACATCATTTGGGACTTGAGCAACAGCTGCACTACCACAAATACCGATGAGGAAAAAGGAGATGAACATGAAATCAACATTTAAAGGAAAGTTGTGCTTATGTGATGCATTCCACTTCTCGGGGAATGTCCTAAATTCGGCAGGAATCAAGTCTGAGGTCCTCACCCGGACAAATCATCCCTTCCAGCCCCGATCCTGATCCTCATCGATGCTTGAGAACAAGGCTTTTCTAGCCCAGTGTACGAGCTTTATCAATCTCCCTTGGAAGATTTGGGGACTGTACAGGCGGAGTAGATGATCGATGGTGAGCCGACAAGAGTCGATCTTGTGCACAAACAATCGAAGGAGGATTACGCTCCTCCATAACGATGGTTGGATTTGACTGTGGCATACTTTGTACCTCTTACAGAAGTCCATAATAACCGGATCCATCGGGCCCAGTGTGAAGGGATAAGTGTAACCACTTAGATATCCCTCGACATGGGTAGTAATGGCCTCCTCGGGGTCGGGGACCACTATTTCCTTATTTACCCAGTTGCAATCCTTTCGGACCTCAGGGATGTCATCTTCGCTAATCGAGCATATATATCTCGATGTCTCCTCACACTGACCCTGCATCAAAGAGGGATTCTCAACCTTAAAGTCATCGGCGATCGAACAACCCACGAGAATGAACATTTTCAAGGGAGGTCCGGCAACTGGCTTATCGACAGCCACGTTAGCAGCGGACCTCTCCAGGTCAACCACATCAGGAGTCCTTTCATCAATTTTAGCGGTCGGTTGAGAAGAAGAAGCGACTTTTTGCAAAACAGATTTTGAAGTTTTGGCCATTGTTATCTGGAAAAAGCTTGAAAAAAGAAGAAGAAATGACGAAAGATAAAGGGTCAAGTGTGGTGGTTTGGATAGAAGATGAGTAAAGATTTGTAACTTACTGAGAAATCTTGAAAAACTGAGATAAAAAACTAGAGTATGAAGAAGGATAGAAGACTCGAGGGTAGAAGCTTAAACGTAGAGTAAAAAATGAACGAATGAGAGGAATATTTATAGAGGCTTCACGATATTTCGTATTCAGAGATGGCCAACCGGTGGCTGACATGCGTTTGAGGTCATAATGACATTACTGATGAGATGTTTTGGGTTCTTTGTCTTTTTTGCCACGATGTATCGGAGAAGGAATCGAAGTACATATATAATTTCTCGTCGTTTTCGTAAACTTACTCTCCGAAAAATGAGGGAACTATCTGTATACGGGTAAAACTAAGCCCTTTGGATGCCTCGATTCTCGATGAAGTAAACGAAGCAGGAATACAAATGTGAGGAGCCGGAATCGAGGTAAGAAGCTCCTCGAGTCGACGCACGGGAAAACACCTGCCCTCGGAGGAATCAGAGTCATGCCCCCAAGACCGATTTGAACCCTTTAACTTCGGAGAACGCCATCAGACAATCGAGCATGATTAACAAAAGGCTGTGATATCCGTGACAAGCCGGACATCACGACGTGAATCTCGGCACGTATCGGCAGAGAGCCGGTGATCAGTTAAATGGAAGATGTTTACTTTTTATGGAATTGTACTTAGGGTAAAACTCTCATACTATATAAAGGGGGGAGGGGGTCTGATTATTCATTAACCACATTGTAACACGTATACCAAGGCAATATACTCTCATTTTCTGCATTATTCAAAGTTTTTATTTTTGTTCATTAGTGCTTCGTTATTATGAATCCGGGATCGAAGGCAGGCATTCCATTAAGGCTGTAACCGAGTCCGGAATCATTCCACTTAAGTGGTTTGACAATTTATTACGTCCTTTATCTGTTTAATCTAACCTAATTTATCATTTAAAGCATATTTTTTTTATAAGAACGTTCCTGCACCTGGTATATACACCAATTAATAAATCGATAACACATTTTTAACATACTACTCTTATCAATAAATAAAATTACCATTTTGTAGAAGCTAAATTAAAGGCAATAAAATCTCAATGAGAAGAGCTCATATGAAGATTAAAAACTCAATTCCATAACAGTCCCAATTCTTTTGAAATTACATACTTATTGTTGTAGTTTGTTTGGGAATAACTTTCGCGGCTAAAAGATAATGTAAGATAAATTAAAACTTCTAAGTGTATAAATAACTATAAACTATATTATAATTATAATATAGGGAGCGGAGAGAGTCAGTGGTAGAGGTTAGGCAGGTGAATGACAAATTGATGGCGATTAAGTTAGTAGTTGGAGGGAGCACTATGAATGTCATTAGCGCTTACGCGCCGCAAGCGGGTTTTGACGAGGGAGTTAAAAGGCGCTTTTGGGAGACGTTGGATGAGGTGGTGTAGGGTACTCCATCTACGGAATAGTTATTTATAGGGCGTGATTTTAATGGTCCTATTGGGTCGTGTGTTGGTGGCTATGGCGAGGTGCACAATGGCTTCGTCTTTGGGGATAGGAACGGAGGAGAAACTTCACTATTGGATTTCCCTAGAGATTTTGAGTTGGTGATCATGAACTCTATTTTTTCGAAGAGGGAGGAGCATTTGATTACTTTCCGGAGTATGGTGGCTAATACTCAGATTGATTATCTCCTCCTCAAGAGGTGTGATAAGGGGTTGTGCAAGGATTGTAAGGTGATCCCGAGTGAGAACCTCGCGACACAACATAGGCTCTTGGTGATGGACGTTGGTACCTTGATAAAGAGGAAGAAGAGGTTTATACAGGGTCAACCGAGGATCAAGTCGGGAGTTTTGACTAAGGATAATATGCAGGAGTTGGAGGGGCAGTTGACAGCTATGGGAGCCTGGAAGAGTGGTAGGGATGCTAGCGTTATGTGGACGGCGATGACAGACTATATAAGGGAGGCGGTGAGAGAGGTGTTAGGGGTCTCGAAGGGGTACTCTGGCGGGCACCGAGGCGACTGGTGGTGGAATGACTTGGTCCAGGGTAATGTGGAAGCAAATAAAGTGGCATACCTTAAGTTAATGGAGAGCACCGACGAGGGGTAGAGGAGAGAGAATAGAGAAAGATATAAGGAAGCTAGGAGGGAGGCAAAATTAGCGGTCATGGAGGCTAAGATTATTGCGTTTGGTCGGCTGTATGAGGAACTGGGGGCTAAAGGTGGGGACAAGAAGTTATTTCGACTGGCCAAAGTGAGAGAGAGGAAGGCTCGCGACCTGGATCAAGTTAGGTGCATCAAAGACGAGGAAGGTTGTGTATTGATAGAAGAGGCCCAAATTAAGCAAAGATGTCAGTCGTACTTTCATAAACTTCTGAATAAAGAGGGAGACAGAAATATCATGTTAGGGGAATTGGGGCAGTGCAAGAGTCACCAAGACTTTAGGTATGCAGGCGTATTAAGGTTAAGTAGGTCGTGGGAGAAATGCATAAGATGAGTCGGGGTAAAGCGGTATGTGGGTAGAGCAGGCTTGGAGTGGCTAACTGGGCTGTTTAATATTATTTTCAGGACGAAGAGGATGCCAGATGAGTGGAGGTGGAGTACGATGATTCCGCTGTATAAGAATAAAGGTGATATCAAGAATTATAATAGCTATAGAGGTATCAAGTTACTGGTCATACCATGAAAGTTTGGGAGAGGGTGCTGGAAGGAAGGGTAAGGAGGGCGGTGTCTATATCAAAAATCCAGTTCGGGTTCATGCCTGGTCATTCTACTACAGAAGCTTTCCACCTTATCAAGAGGTTGGTGGAACAGTACAGAGATAGGAAGAGGAATTTGCACATGGTGTTTATTGACCTAGAGAAGGGATAGGAAAAGGTCCCTAGGGATGTTCTGTGGAGGTGCCTGGAGGTGAAAGGTGTGCCGGTAGCTTATATTAGGGCAATAAAGGATATGTATGATGGATCTAAGACTCGGGTTAGGATCGTGGGAGGTGAATCAGAGCCTTTTTCGGTGGTTATGGGTTTACACCAAGGATCTGCGCTCAACCCGTTCTTATTTGCCCTGGCGATGGACGCACTGACACACCATATTCAAGGGGAGGTTCCATGGTATATGTTATTCACTGATGATATAGTTCTAATTGATGAGATGCGAGGCGACATTAATGAGAGTCTGGAGGTATGGTGGAAGGACCTGGAGTCTAAAGGTTTCAAGTTGAGTAGGACTAAAATGAAATATTTGGAGTGTAAGTTCAGCGACGTGTCGGGGGAAGCAAACGTGGATGTGAGGTTTGACTCACAAGTCATCCTTAAGAGAGAGAGTTTCAAGTACCTAGGGTCAATTATCCAGGGAGATGGGGAGATCGTCGGGGATGTCATGCACCGTATCGGAGTGGGGTGGATGAAATGGAAGTTAACATCTGAAATCCTGTGTGACAAGAATATGCCACCAAAACTTAAAGGTAAGTTCTATAGAGCGGTGGTTAGACTAGCCATGTTATATGGGGCTGAGTGTTGGCCAGTCAAGATTTTACATATCCAAAAGATGAAAGCAGTAGAAATGAGAATGTTGAGATAGATGTGCAGGCACACTAGAATGGATAAGATTAAGAATCAGGATATTTAGAAAAGGGTGGGCGTGGCTCCCTTGGACGACAAGATGCGAGAAGCAAGGCTTAGATGGTTCGGGAACATGCGGAGGAGGACCCTTGTTGTCCCGATTAGGAGGTGTAAGAGGTTGGCTCTGGTAGGGATGAAAAGAGGTAGAGGCGGCCTAAGAAGTATTGGGGCGAGGTAATCAAGCATAACATGGCGCGGCTTCAGATTTTCAAGGACAACTCTTTTGATAGGAAGGTGTGGAAGTCGAGCATTAGGGTTGTAGGTTAGGGGGGTAGTCGATCGTTTTTCCTCGTTGTGCCGGCTAGTCTGATAGTGTTTTGTCTAGGAGTGCTAGCGGTTTTTGTTGTATTTCACATTTTCTTTTTTTCCTGTCTTTTACGAAGTTGATACTGCTTTTTTGGTTTCTGTTGCTATTACGGATCTATTGTCTCTGAGCCGAGGGTCTTCCGAAAACAGTATCTATATCCCTTCGGGATAGGGGCAAGGTCTACGTACACTCTATCCTCCCCAGACACCACTAGTGGGATTCTACTGGATTGTTGTTATTGTAATTGATTTGCTTTAGTGCGATTGTATTCAATTATGCATTGGTAATGAACATGCAAATTTTCCCTCGAAGAAAGGGAAGTAGGAGATTTCAGAGTTGTTTTAGTGCATTTTTGTATTGTGACTCCCCAACCTTTTATAATGAAATTTTTTCAACAAAGTTGCCAATTAAGGAACTTAAAATACTATAATGTCCCTATAAATATTTATATATTGGCGAATCATATTTAACTTTAAAAATATTTTGTTGGTACCTTAATCGATAATACGTGTAGTATTTTTTGAAGCAATTTAAAAAGTATGATGATCTATGATATGGCTGGATTGATTGAAAAACTCTCGCATTGCTTATTATTAAAAATCATTTTCTTCTGCCACTTATGCGGCACGTCACATTCATAGTCTACGTCATTAAAAAATTTATTCAACTTTAAATTTCTAAATGTTAGGAGTTTTTACATAATTCATATAAAAAAAAAGACTTAATAATTAAGATTTTAGTTGATTTTGAAGCTCTAAATATTAGGAAAAATACCTTAAAATATAATTTTATCTAATATAAAATATATTTTTAAATAGTAAAAAAAGGCGAATAACATTTCACTAAGGGCTTCGTGCTTTTATTATAATATAGATAAGTTTTAACTTCATAAAAATGTGTAACGACCCGGCCAGTTATTTTGAGTACTTGAGCCACGTTCCCCTATTTGATGCTTCTTATATGTGTGTTTGTTATTTTGTAACTTGCGGAGTCGGTTGGTTCAACTTCGGGAATGTTTGAGAGTAATATGGGACACTTAGTCTCATTTTAAAAATCTTAAGTCGGAAGAGTTGACCAATATTTGACTTTTGTGTAAACAACCACAGATCGGTAATTTGATGATTCCAATAGGTTTGTATAGTGATTTTGGACGTAGGCGTATGTTCGGATTTGAATTTAGAGGCTCCTAAAGGATTTTTGCTCATTTACCGAAAGTTGGCAATTAGAAGGTTTGGAGAGTTCTTGGATTTGAGCGGGCTTGAATTTTATGTTATTGGATCCCGATTGGCGTTCCAGAACTTTTGATAGGTTAATTTAGCTGATTGGAACTTGTGTGCGAAGTTCGGTTGGAATCCGAAATATTTAGGCATAGTTCTGACGTGTTTGGCGGAGTTAAAAACTTTGGAGATTAAGAGACTGATTTTGATCGTCGATTCTTAGTTTTGATATTATATGTGATATTTTGAGCATTTGGATTATTTTGGATTAGGTATTCAGACTTGTTGGTATGATGAGACGTGGTCATTGGAGGCTCGAGTGTGTTTCGGGTTGATTTCGGATCAGTTGGACTTAATTGGACTTGTTGGTGCTGGTGAGTTGCACCTACGGAGTTTGATGTGCAAGTGTGAGGTCGCACCTGTAGAGGTAGGTGTGCAAAAATAATAATTGGCTGGGATTGGGAAAGCGCTCCTACGATGGATGCCTCACATAAGTGATTGCGCACCTGCAATTCCATTGGCACGCCTGCGACTCCGCAGAAGCGATGCCCTTATGGCAGGTGCGAGGTTTGGCTGGAGGGAGGAGTCTAGGAGATGCGAGCTTTTTGTCGCAGATGCAAGACTTTTGTCCGCTGATGTGAAAGTTGCTTGGCAGACTACTTAGTTGGTATATTTCGGGATTTTAGCTCATTCTATCATATTTTGGATCCTAGACTTGGAGAGAGCGGATTTGGCTTGGAGATTTTCATACATGACTAAGGGTTAAGTGATTTTTAATCATTTATGGTATTAAATCAAGACTCTACATAGATTATTAACACCAGAAATATGGAATTTTGAGGTAAAAATTGGGGGTTTTCCACCAACTTAAGAGAGTGAAATTGAGGTTTTGAGCTATGATTTGCACGTGGATGACGTAGACACGGGTTATGGTAAATTGGCTGATGTTGGTTGATTTTGATATCGAATCCGATGATGGTGAGTTTTGAGTATAAAGGTAGAATCTTTGATCATGGAAGTGAATTCTTTATGCCTTGTTATGCATTTATGTGCATATATGCTTAATTTTGACATGCTACTCAACGCTTGTGTTATTTGTTGATGACTTGTTAGTCAAGATTGGATTATCCATATTGAGTTGTTATCTCTTGATTTGATAGTTGATGTTGTTGTCTCTTTGATCATTTTTCTTGTTGTGAGTTATTGTAATTGCACAGGATCTTTGACTAGTGAGTACCACATGACTTGAAACACGTCACTACTTCACCAAGGTTAGTCTTGATATTTATTGAGTATATGTTGTCCCGTACTCATACTACACTTTTGCACATTTTGTGCAAATCCGGGAGTTGGCATAAGCGGATCTCAGGAGTGAGAATTGTTGTTGATAGAGAGGATTCAAGATAGTATTGCATGATTGCCTGCAGACCCTTGGAGTCCTCTTCCCCTATCTTCATACTATAACTTATATATTCAGATAGTGTTATATTATTAAGGCATCTCTTTGTATTCAATTTTAGAGCTCATGACTCCATACTACCTGGTTTGGGAATTTGATGTTATGATATCTCTGTATTAGCTATGTTGAAGCTTTATTATGCTATTTATATTGCTTCATTCTTATTATATCTTGTTTTCGTTGGATTGAATCTATATTGCATGTTAGATTACCTAGTCTTGGAGGCTAGGTGCCATCATGATTTTTGATGAGATTTTGGATCATGACAAATTGAAATTAGAGCACTAGGTTCATAGGATTTACGGGTCATGATCAAGTCTAGTAGAGTCTTGCAGATCGGTACGAAGACGTTTGTGCTTATCTTCAAGAGGCTACAGGATCGTTAGGAAAACTTCTCTTTCTTTTATTTTTATCATGTAGATTTTGTTATCCCAAAGTTTGAACTTTTTCTCTTTTATTCTCTCATAGATGGTGAGAAAACGTTCTTCTAGAGCAGGGGAGTAGGGG